AATCCCCCCCACTTTATTCTTCCTTCTCAGGATTGCTTTGGCTATTGGGGGTCTTTTGTGGTTCCATATGAATTTTAGAACTATTTGTTCCAGTTCATTGAAGAATGCTGTCGGTATTTTGATAGGGACTGCATTGAATCTGTAGATTTCTTTAGGCAGAATGGCCATTTTGACAATATTAATTCTTCCTACCCAAGAGGATGGGATGTATTTCCATTTATTAGTGTTCTCTTTAATTTCTTTCAAGAGTGTCTTGTAGTTTTCAGGGTATAGGTCTTTCAGTGCCTTAGTTAGGTTTATTCCTAGATATTTTATTCTTTTTGATGCAATTGTGAATGGAATTGTTTTCCTGATTTCTCTTTCTGTTAGTTCATTGTTAGTGTATATGAATGCAACAGATTTCTGTGTCTTAATTTTGTATCCTGCAACTTTGCTGAATTCAGATAATAGTTCTAGTAGTTTTGGAGTGGATTTTTTAGGGTTTTAATATATAATATCATGTCATCTGCAAATAGGGACAGTTTAACTTCTTCCTTAGCAATCTGGATGCCTTTCATTTCTATGTGTTGTCTGATTGCCATGGTTAGGACCTCCAGTACTATGTTGAATAAAATTGATGAGAGTGGGCATCCTTGTCTTGCTCCTGATCTTAGAGGAAAAGCCTTCAGCTTTTCACTGTTAAGTATGATGTTGGCTGTGGGTTTGTCATCTATGGCCTTTATTATGTTGAGGTGCTTACCATCTATACCCATTTGTTAAGAGTTTTTATTATGAATGTGTGTTAAATTTTGTGAAAAGCTTTTACAGCATCTGTGGAGATGATCATGTGATTTTTGCCTTTACATTGATGTAGTGGATGATATTAATGGATTTTCAAATTTTGTAACTCCTTACATCCCTGGGATGAATCCCACCTGATCATGATGTATGATTCTCTTGATGTATTTTTGAATTCGGTTTGCTAATATGTTGTTGAGTATTTTTGTATCTGTGTTCATCTGGGGTATTGGTCTGTAGTTTTCTTTTTTTGTGGTGTCTTTGGCTGGTTTTGGCATTAGAATGATGCTCACTTCATAGAATGAGTTTGGAAGTATTCCGTCTTCTTATATTTTTTGGAAAACTTTAAGGAGAATGGGTGTTATGTCTTCTGTAAATGTCTGATAAAATTCAGTGGTTAAGCCATCTGGTATGGGGTTTTGTTCTTGGGTAGTATCTTGATTACCAATTCAATTTCATTTGTGGTAATTGGTCTGTTCATATTTTCTGTTTCTTCTTCTAAAAAGTTGTCCATTCCTTCTAGGTTATCCAGTTTATTAGCATATAATTTTCCATAGTATTCTCTTATAATTCCTTGTATTTCGGGGGTGTCTGTAGTGATACTGCCTTTCTCATTTCTGGTTCTGTTTATGTGTGTAGATTCTATTTTTTTTCTTGATAAGTCTGGTAGGGTTTTATCTATTTTGTTTGTTTTCTCAAAGAACCAGCTCTAGTTCTCATTAATTGTTTCTATTGTTTTATTCTTCTCAATTTTATTTATTTCTTTTCTGATCTTTATTATGTCCCTCCTTCTACTGACTTTGTGTGTAATTTGTTCTTCTTTTTCCAGTTTGAGTAATTATGAATTTAGACTCTTTATTTTGTATTGTTCTTCCTTCTTTAAAAAGGCCTGAATTACTGTATACTTTCCTCTTAGAACCTTCTTTGCTGCATCCCACAGAAGTTGAGGCATTGAGCTGTTGTTTTCATTTGTCTCCATATATTGCTTGATCTCTGTTTTTATTTGGTCATTGACCCATTTATTATTTAGGAGCATGTTGTTAAGCCTCCATTTGTGCTTTTTTGTTTTCTTTGCATAATTTATTTCTGCTTTTATACCTTTGTGGTCTGAGAAGCTGGTTGATACAATGTCAATTCTTCTAAATTTACTGAGGCTTTTTTGGGGTCCTAGTATGTGATCTACTCTGGAAAATGTTCCATGTGCACTTGAGAAGAATGTGCATCCTGCTGTTTTTGGGTGGAGTGTTCTGTAGATATCTGTTAGGTCCACCTGTTCTAATGTGTTGTTCAGGGCCTCTGTCTCCTTACTTAGTTTCTGTCTTTTGATTGATCCATCAATGAAAAGGTTGATCTGTCCTTTGGAGTGAGTGGTGTATTGAAGTCTCCTAAAATGAATGCATTGCATTCTATTTCCCACTTTAATTCTGTTAGTATTTCTTGTACACATTTGGGTGCTCCTATCTTGGGTGCATAGACATTTATAATGCTTATATCCTCTTTTTGGACTGACCCCTTTATCATTATGTTCTTCTTTGTCTCTTGTTACTTTCTTTGTTTTGAAGTCTATTTTATCTGATACAAGTATTGGAACTCCTGCTTTTTTCTCCCTATAGTTTGCTTGAAATATCTTTTTCCATCTCTTCACTTTTAGTCTTTGTATGTCTTTTGGTTTGAAGTGAGTCTCTTGTAGGTAGCATAAAGATGGGTCTTTCTCTTTTATCCATTCTGTAACTCTATGTCTTTTGATTGGTGCATTCAGTCCATTTATATTTAGGGTGATTATTGATAGATATGTACTTATTGCCATTGCAGACTTTGGATTTGTGGTTACTAAAAATTCAATGGCTGCTTCTTGACTGTCTAGGAATTTACTTTAACTCACTTATTGTGCTATTATAACCACAATCTGAAGATTATTTTTTCCCCCTTCTTTTTCTTTCTCCTCCTCTCTTTATATGGTAGGTATCATATTCTGTACTCTTTGTGTATCCCTTGACTGACTTTGTGGGTAGCTGATTTAATTTTGCCTTTGGTTAGTATTTAATTGGTCTACTTCCTTTGATGTGGTTTTATTTTCTCTGGTGACAGTTATTTAGCCTTAGGCACACTTCCATCTGGAGCAGTACTTTTTAAATACAGTGTAGAAATGGTTGGTGGCAGGTAAATTCCCTCACCTTTTGCTTATCTTGGAATTATTTAATCCCACCATCAAATTTAAATGATAATCTTGTGTAAAGTGTTCTTGGTTTTAGGTCCTTCTGTTTCATTGTATTGAATATATCATGCAACTGCCTTTTGGCCTGTGAGGTTTCTGCAGAGAAGTCTGATGATAGCCTGATGGGTTTTTATTTGTAGATGATTTTTTTCTCTCTCTGGCTGCTTTTAATACTCTGTCCTTGTCCTTGATCTTTGCCATTTTAATTATTATATGTCTTGGCATTGTCTTCCTTGGATCCCTTGTGTTGGAAGATCTCTGTAATTCCATGGCCTGAGAGACTATTTCCTTCCTCAGATTGGTGAATTTTTCAGCAATTATTTCTTCAAAGACACTACTTTCTATCCTTTTTTCTCTCTCTTTGTCTTCTGATACCCCTGTAATGTGAATATTGTTCTGTTTGTATTGGTCACACAGTTCTCTGAATATTCTTTAATTCTTAGAGGTTCTTTCCTCTCTGTACCTCAGCTTCTTTGTATTACCTGTTCTCTAATTTGTATTCCATTTACTCATCTAATCTGATTTTAAATCCTTCCATTGTGTGTTTTATTTCAGTTACTATATTTGTAAGGTATCTATCTCTCTCCTGAATTCATCCCTAAGCTCTTGAATATTTTTCGGTAGCTCCATTAGCATGCTTATGACTTTTATTTTTAATTGTTTTTCAGGAACATTGGTGATTTCAGTCTTGCCAAGCTCTCTTTCTGGTGTTTGAGGGATTTTGGATTGAATAAGGTTCTTCTGCCTTTTCCTAGTCCTGGACTGATGGCAGTGGTCACAGATGAGTGTCAACTGGGAGGACAAAGTCCCTTCCTGCTTCCAGGTCTCAGTGCTTGTCTCCGCTGTCTGGGCGGGTTAGCTGCGTGCAGGTAGCAGCCTCTGAGTTAATCCCCTAGACTCTCATGGGCGTGGCTGTCCTGATGCTGGCTAGGCAATGGCACGGGTTGCACGGAAGCTGTGTGGGTGTCAGGTGGGAGGGAAAGTCCTTTTGTGCTTCCTGGTCACCATGCCTGTCTCCACTCTCAGGGGTGGTTAGCCGCGCACAGGGCGAAGGTTCTGCATTAAGCTGTGTAGTTGCTGTAGGCAGGGCTGCCTTCTGGCTGGTCTGCAACAATGGCGTGGACAGCAGTTTGCTTGCAGGTGCTGGAGGTGGAGGGAAAGAAGTGGCAAGCTGCTTATCATGGTGAGGTTCCTCAGGGCTGCATTGCCAACTGGAGGGAATGGAGCACCTGAAGCTCCTAAATTTCCCAACCTGCTGGGCTGAGTGTGCTGGGATGATTTTGTCCACTTGCTCCTTCTCCTATACCCTTGCCCATTTAGCAGCCCTCTGACTGTTGAGAAGTCTTTCAAAGCACCTGCTGTTCTTTTGTCCCAGGGCAGCTGTTTGTAGGAACCTGTTCTCTGTCTTAGTCTCTGACTTTGGTTTTCAGCCCCTCTAATCTCTAGAGCCCCATGCAGTGTGGGCGTGTGCTACTGGAGTAGATTTCTAGGGCTGGGTGTTTAGCAGCCCTGTGCTTCCACTCCCTCCTCACTCTGATTCTCTTCCTTCCGCCAGTGAGCCAGGATGGGGGTGTGCTCTAGTCCTGCCAGGTCATGGCTTTTTTACTTTACCCTTTTCCATGAGATGTTCACTTCTCCCAGATGTAGACTGGCTGGTGCACTCTTACTTCTGGTCACTGTTTTAGGAATAGTTGTATTTGCTGTATTCTCAAAATATATATGGTTTTGGGATGAGATTTCTGCCTTACTTCTCATCCCACCATCTTTTTTTCTCTCCTCCAACTTTATTATTAAAGATCTAGGAAATATTCTCAGTTACATTTCAGGACATAGGAATTTTATTGAGTATCTTAAAAAACAAGACAATCTGGTGTTTTAGCACTTTTCTAGAGGAGATGGAGAAGAGTTAGTTATGTCTATTGTCAGCTCTTCTAGTTTTGACAACCTGCTATTCTGAGTCTTCCATTTTTATAAGTTGTAATACTGTATGTTATTTGTGCTTCTATAGGTGGTAACTGGAAAGTTTCCATAATCACCAGTGACTTGCCAAATGCAGGGACCAGCTCACAGATTTATATTGTACTATATGGACAACGTAGAAGTTCAGCCCCGATTTATCTTTATGGAACAGATGGAGCTCGATTTCAGGATGGCCATGAAGACATATTTACTGTAAGTGATAAAATTGAGTAAAACCTGTTAATATAAGTGATATGGGTAGTAGGTACTTTGGAATGAATGTAATCTATTTATTGGAGTAGGTGCTTCCTATTGTAACACCATGTGTCCTGTAGAATTCATGGCAGTTTCTGCTCAAGCAGATTAAACACAAGTAAAACTGCATTATAATGAGACAACTGCTAAAAGAGAAATACTAGGTGGCCAACACTTTTATTTTTTTTCTATACTTTTGACTTCCAGGAATAAGGGCTTTGTGCCTTTCTGGCTTATGCTTTAACAGATAAAGCTCAAATTCAAGGTAAAAAAGGAATAAATGAAATTATCAAATAAAGGAGGGTAAAGAAGTTATCATCAAGTTATTGTATCATGGCAAGACACATTGAGATCAAGAGCCAGGGAGAAACCACAGATGAAGCAGGTCAGGGGTTACAAGTATGATGTGAAACTAGCATCATAAAAATTAGCAATCAAAGGCAAGACTTGAAATGAGTCAAGTACCTTGTACTTTATAAGTACTTAAAAATGTCTGTTGAATGAACAGATGCATGAAGGGATTGTTTTAAACTGGGTAGAGACAGAGAAATCAATAAGTGTCCTTAAGTATCTTAAATCTTTATAGGATACCCACTTCAGTGTGATCCTGGGTTTTTGGTTTACAAAAACCTGTCTACTCAGCCCACATATGTCACAGAAAAGGCTGAATCATTTGGAACCAAACTAATAGTTTTGTTTGAATTACTCTTTACATACATTCTATATGAATCTATGTTTAAAGAAACCTTTCTTGTGTTGATGGTCACTACAAATAAAAAATGAAGACTTTATCATTATTTGCTTGTGTAAGAGATAGTTTTAGGAGTGACTATACCAAAAGAGTCTGAGCTGCTTTTGTTGTTTTTGCTATTTTTATAGTTTCAAGTTTAATTTTAAATCAAATTATACCATCACATGATGTATAGGATTAAATCATTCTGAATTCTTAAGTAAGAAAGGAGTACTTCTAACCTCTCATTCTCATTCCCTTCTCCCACATAGTTTGAAGCTTCTTTTTTTTTCTGAGCACTACAATCTACATTTTAGCTCTTTCTATTGTTTTGCACTTTCTTGCTTGAGCCCTGGGATCACTACATTTCTATCTTGTTTGTAGAGGTGATGGCTCCTTAAGTTCGTAATTTGTTTATGATTTTGATATTAGTTTTCATTAGTTATGATGAAACTGTTTTCTTGTAAGAGTTCTTAGGTAAACTTTTATTTTCCTTTCTCCTTTTCTTTTTCTATTGTTGCTCCAAGAGGAGAGGGTTCCCTGCTCCAGGCAAGTTCACTATGAATTTGCTGAGACCAAATAAAGAGAAAAGCAAGTTGGGGTGGGGGTTTAAAAGGGGTTTATACCACATTTATTCTCATGCAGTCACCCAGCTATGTACAAATAGCAAAGATAGCCCAGTCTTTCTTGGCTCCAGGGCTGCTCCCTCCTACTCCCCAGCATGGGCTTTATCCTCGTCTTGCACCAGAGCTCCTTGGCTTCCCTCCTCCATCCTCCATTCTCTCCTGGCTCTCCCTCTAGGCTCCCCCTCTCCTCTCACTCATTTTTCCCTTCCCTACCTTTAGCACTGGGAGAAACTCTGTGGTTGGGTCTCTATGGTGACTAGTGGATATCCAACCAATTACATGCCAGGAACTGAGGATAGGAGAGAATGGGTATTTCCTCCCCACCCATCCCCTCAGCCCATACTCCAGTGATTGACCAGTTGCTCTGTCCCTGGTAAATATCCTGCTGCCCATAGATATGTAAACAGGCTCTTTTAGGTCTACAATGGGCAATATCCAGGTAAGGATCCTGCCTATAATTTCCATTTTCTCTACATCCATACAGTTTCATTGTATAGATATTTTCTTTTTTATTGTGGTATCACAAAACAAAATTTACCATTTTAACCACTTTAAAGAGTATCATTCAGTAGCATAGTATGTTCATGATGTTCAACCATGACCACTGTCTTTTTCCAAAACATCTTAGTCAGAACAAAAGGAAATTCATTTTGCGGTCACTCCCCATTCCTTTCACCCAATTCCTAGCAACCTCTATTCTGCTTGTATCTTTAAGGATTTGCCAATTTTGGATATTTCATATAAATTGAATCATATAGTACATGGTCTGTGTATCTGGACTCTTTCATTCAGCATGTTTTCATGTTCATTCATGTTACATGATGTATCAGTACATCATCCCTTTTTATAACCAAATAATATTTCATTGTGTGGAAATACCACACTTTGTTGATCCATTCCTCTACTGATGGACATTTAGGTTGTTTCTACTCTTTGAATACTGTGAATAATGGTGCTACAAACATTCTATTTGTGTACAAGTATTTTTTTTGAATACCTGTTTTCATTTCTTTCCAGTATATACCTAGGAATTTCTGGGTCATAGGTTAGTTCTATGTTTAACTTTTTGAGGAACCACCAAACTATTTTCCACAGTGACTGTACAAGTTTACATTTTCAACAGTAGTATATGAGGGTTCTAAATTCCTCATATCCTCCTAACACTTGTTATTGTTAATTTAAAAGAAATCTAGTCAAATCTTGTGGGTGTGAAGTGGTATCTCATTATCATTCTGATTTATATTTCCCTAATGATTAATTGTATTGAGTATCATTTTTTTATGCTTGCAGGCCATTTGTATGGACCATTTGTATATCTTCTTTGGAGAAATATCTATTCAAATCCTTGATGTATTTTTTCAGTTGGGTTGTTTTTGTTTTTGATTGGTTAAGTGTTCTTCATATATTCTAAATACTAGATGCTTATCAGAAACATGATTTGCCAATACTTTATCCTATTTTGTGGGTTGTTTTTTTCACTTCTTGATAGCATCCTTTGAAATTTTTATTTTTATGATGTTCAATTTACCTATTTTTTGTTCCTTGTGTATTTGGTCTCATCTAGAAACCATTGCCAAATGCAAGACCTATCCCTGTGCTTTCTCCTGTATTAGTTATGTGATCCATTTTGAGTTAAATTTTGTATGTGGTTTTAGGTAATAGCCCAATTCCATTCTTTTGCATATGTATATCTAGTTGTCCTACTGCTGAGAATACTATTCATTCCCCATTGAATATCTTATTTTTGTGAAGAACAAACTGATTATAGCTGGACTCTTAATTCTATTTCTGGACTCTTAATTTCTGGACTCTTAATTCTATTCTATTGATTTATATGTCTGTCTTTATGCCTATACTATACAGTTTTCATTACTGTAGCTTTATAGTAAATTTTGCAATCAGAAAGTGTGAGTCCTCCTACCTTGTTCTTATTTTTCAAGATTCCTCTGGCTATTTGTCACCCCTTAGAGTTCCATGTGAATTTTAGGATCAGCTTTTCTATTGCTGCAAAATAGGCAATTTGGGTTTTGATAGGGATTACACTAAATTTGCAGATCGCTTTGGGTAGTATTGAAATCTTACCAATTCATGAACATGATGTGTCTACATTTATTTAAGTCTTCTTTAATTTCTTCCAGCAGTTTTCTATAGTTTTGCTTGTATAAGTCTTGCACCTCTTTGGTTAAATTTATTCCTAAGAATTTTAATTCTTTTTGATGCTTTGTAAATAAAATTGCTTTCTCAGTTTCTTTTTGATATTGCTTATTACTAATTTCTAGAAATGCCACAGATTTTTGTATGTTGATCTAGTATCCTATAACTTTGCTGAATTCATTTATTAGCTCTAGTAGTTTTTTTAATGGAATCCTTAGGATTTTCTATGTATCAGGTCATATTATATGTGAAGAGATATGGTTTTATTTCCTCCTTTCCAATTTGGTTGTTTTAAATTTCTTTTTTGGCTAATTGCTCTATCTAGAACTTCCTGTACAATGTTGAAGAGAAGTAATGAAAACTGACATCCTTGTCTTACTACTGTTTTAGGAGGAAACTTTCTTATTTTCACCACTGAGTATAGTATTTCTTGTGAGTTTTTCATAAATGCCCTCTTTTATGTTCAGGAAGTTTCCTTCTATTTGTTGAGTGATTTTATTATGAAAGTTGTTGGATTTCATCAAATTTTTTTTTTTTTTTTTTTTTTTTTTTT